GGTAAAGCTAAAAATATTGCTTATTAGTACATAATATTAGTTTTGTCACAAATATTTCCTCTATAAATCGGTGTTGAATATGATGGCGCGATCATTCATGTGACGCGAGGTTCGAAACACGATTACGCTTCACTCCTATTTACATAATTTATATCGTGTTAAGATATATAGAAATATGTATCTTACGAATTAGTAGTGTTATAGTGGTGATCGTCAAATCTTACAATAGTTTTAAATTAATTTCTTAACTACAAGTTCCGCATTTTTGTCTATTTGAGTATCTATTTTAAAATGTAAATATTTAGTTAAGACTTACGTCCACTTCGTTTTATGTTTTTACCCCCATGTGACACAGGTTTGAGGTTATGTGTGTAGGTATGTTATGTACTTATGTTCCGTTTTAATAATATATGTCTTTCTGTGGATTCAACTATTAGAGATATTATGACACATTTTACATATACAGGTACCCGGAGATTGACACACACCATAACACTACCTATAGGAGGACAATAAAAACTACAATAAAACATACTCGTACCTATGTATACTACCTAAATACTAAGATCAGTACTGCAAAAGCTACATGGAAACAAGCTCAGGGGCCTCTTCAAAACCAGGCAGATGTAGATAACACTGTACACGTACGAGTCAATAATTTTACACCTACATTCTAAATTAATTGGTACGGGAGATAATGATGAAATGTGGGACGCCCACACATTACGATAATGCGGCACACATACAGGAATTCGTCCGATAAACACAGAGACGTATGTTGTTTTATCTGGCAAACTATAGAACAGTGAATGAGTATCAGGGCGAAACTAAACGTTAGCAAAAAGAATATTCATGGGGTAGGCGAAGGTGCACTGAAAATGAAACAGTAACATCGCTTTTCATTTTACTAACATTATAAATGCGATAGTTTGTGAGGATGTATGTGTGTATGTGTTTGTTACTCTTTCACATCAAAACGGCTGAAGGGATCGGGATGAAATTTGTGACAGGGGTAGATTATGCACTGAAATAACAGATAGGCTACTTTATCTTATGGGAACACGAACTGAACGTGAACGTGAAGCTGCGGGCAGAACCTAGTTATAGTATAAGCTTATGAAGATCACGTAACAGAGAGTCGAGTCTATAATCATGCATCGAGCACCAATCCAAACTTTGTGTCATTGTAAGAATTTTCTAATAATTTAATATCTAATCAATTAAAATGCTTTGTTTAATCCCTAAATATAGCCCAGAAGGGCCCTTAGCTTGGTAATCCCTCTTGCGACTCGAAGGTAGTCTCTAATTCCTCTTTTTTCCATTACTTTCCTGACTACAGGAAGTCGTGGTCTTAATTAACTAATAATTTTAACTCTGATCAAATTCCTCTCAATCATCGGCTCAAAATTTCTAATTAAGTACCATTAATCCCATTTACCAGTCCATATACCTAAATCGGTTAATAAATACAAAATCAGATATTTAAATTAATCAGTATCCAATAATCAAAAGGCTGAGTACATTTTAATATCGATAATTGCTTTGTTTCAACTGAAAACTCTGTGGTTGCCGACCACTGAACTAATTAATTGATTCGGACAGATAAATTCAATTAAATTGTGATAACTGTCAATCGGATTCGATACAGATTATTCGATATGTACATATTTAAGCCGTAATATTAATGAAGATTTTCGTTATAATATGCTGCTGTCCTCATTGGAGATTCTGACAAAAGACCTCCTTAAAGGATAACGGTTAGAGATCCCCTTAAAGGATAACAATATAAATATTGTTGTCCTAAACTGTTGAATAAATAGATAGAAAGTATTTATTCTCTATTAACTATCAACGAGACACATTAGTAAGACATTAGTTTATCCTATCGATCACAAAACAATCTAGTTTTCTTTCGCCGATAAAACAAAAATAATAAGCTTGTTTTATCAATATCCAATCTGGTATATTATCTGAACATTATCGTTATCAATCTGTTTTGTACCAAAGCTTTTCAGAAGGTGATTTACATGAAAATATAAACTGGTTACCTAGTAAATTATTATGTTTTCGGCTTACTCACGTAGTAATTTGACGAGGAACTCGACTAGTTTCAAGCCATGCTAGAGGCTCATATTCATGAGCAGCATTTCCTATTGGTTACCTAGTGGTAGAAATTAACCCCATTTGGTAAAAAAAATTGAACAAAAAAGGTTCTTATTCTTTACAATAAATAGATTTGATGCTGACTGACAAACTTTGACGCCCTCCGTCAATCCTCGTCCGATCGCTTGAACTTATTACCCTTGGTATCGTCGTGTGCGCCGAGCTGAAAGCTTTTCCATTACACAACCAATGGTAATAAAAATATACATCATATCCCATACTGTAATGGAAAGTTTAATGGACCTTTCATACCCGATACATGAACCACAGTGCCACTAAATTATTCACTTTGAACTCCACTTTCAATAAAACAAATTGCTTGGAGGATGCTCTGAATTTCTGTTTAGAGTATAGTTGATTCTACGTGCTATTTAAAAGCCATGCTGTAATAGTTGTTAGTTTATTTATATATAACGTGAACGTAACTAACATCAGGCTTGTTCAATAAACTATTAGTGTTGGCCTAGGATTTTATTAGACCAAATATAGCCGACTGTTAAAAAAATATCGTTAACATTTTCCTGGCTTGGATATGATCATAAGTAGGTATATGATCTGTAACCGTAACCTCTTGTTAGACACACGCACTGGCAACCACTTGACAACAAGACGATCGTATATGTAGCCTTAGAATATAGGTACTTTAAAAAACCAATCCATCATAACACATACGCGCAAACTCCTTCAACACCAACTCTAATAATAAAAAGGATGTTTGTAAACCTGTCTAACGTCAGGAACATTAATAACAATTAAATGTTATTAGCAGTTAGCTATGTTTACACGGTTCCACACAGACTCGTAAATTGATTCCTATGAAACATATGCGATAGACAGCACAACGTACCCGTACATTAAAAACTGTACTCTAACATGTACAACGCATTAAAATCCATGTACTGATAGTAAATCAGTTATGTGCGGTAAATCAACTCCCTCTGTCTTTCAATAGAACAGTTTACACGTTTGGCAACGTGCCTAGATTTACGAAATAATATCTGTTACTTTCCTAACACGGTGCGCAGTCGAGCAAAAATATTTAAAGAGCTCCAACTGGTCGGGAATAAAAGGATGAAAGCCTAAAGGGACCAAAGTTTTAAATTCAAAAAGTTTAAAGCAGTTTAAATCAATTTGAGTCGTGACAATGTGAGTAGTATAAGCTGAATGAAATGTCAACGTCGGACTAAGAATAACAACATTAATAAGTTGAGAATGTTTAAGCTCGTCACCGTGTGCCGGTCAAAGCATCGTGAATCGTGAACTATGTTTAAACAGCATACGGGTGGATTATACATGAACGATCGAAGTTGTTTCCAGTAGATGAAGCTTGGTGTGGAATGAATGTGCCACAACTTCAGCCACAATGCTAAATATTTTGCCACAATACGTAATGTTCTATTTGAAACACACACCTAAACAAATTCAGATTAGAAACGGTTTGAGGAATACATATCATAGATTTTGATGCTATGAAAGCAAGAATTTCCTAACGATTCTTCGTTAGTTTTAATTGTTTTAACTTTGTTGTATAAAATACCAGAGAACAAGGACTAGAACTGTTATACAAAAATGTAATTAGTAATTCTAACTTAACGTCATAAAAAGTCCGGAGAAAATTGACCGTCGACGTCTTAATAACGTCAGCTATTGGGTAGGAAAAACTTGCAAAAAATAAAAATAAAATGTTTAATACATCTTCCCTGTAAATAATCCGCGTAGAAACTCCCAACTCCCGCCAACGGAAAAACAATCTTAAAAAATAAACGCAAAGTAATCATAAAAGTTTCACCTTGATGAATAAGTATCGATTTCAGGAAATTTCGGGGATAATGTAACCAGGCCTATGTCTAAAAACCTTTTTAGTATGAGAGTGCCTGTCTTCAAGGCCCGAGTGAATAGGTTGCTTACGGGTAGACGTGCTACATCGTAGGCTGCATCATCGTTTACCACCATGCGAGATAGTGGCCAAACGTAGGTTCATCAAATATAAAAAAGTAGAATTGTAAGAAGGAATTAATCAAAATATGAATGTAACCATACGTCAGTATTTAGAGACCAGAGCGATACACATCATTACAGTTCTCTTTCAATTTTAAATTATAAAATTAAATATTCATCTACAAATAGCACACTACACGAATCTGTTTAGATTTCTTAATTTTTAAGATGTTCTTTCTACCGATGTTGAAAATGCCTCTCATTTTGGAAATCTTGCCTCATTTTAAGATTTTGTCCTCGCATTACAACTTTCGTCAGTACCTGAGAGAGTACAGAATGAGTATACTTAGTACCTACCTAATTCATACTATACACAACGAATCAAAAGGGAAAAAGTTAATGCGGTGTTTATTGTTGGAACATCTTCCACCGCCTCGAGAAAGTTAGGCAAAGGCGTTGGAAAGGTGGAATGAATTCCAAATTGGAGATCATACACGAAGAGAAATTACACAAAACCATTAAGTTTAACTCACTGTTTGTACGAGATGCGGTATGAAATGAAGGTAGCGTGATGTATGGTGCACATGGCATGGATCGCATTTGCACGTTTTGTAAACATTGCACATGAATAACAGGCCACTACATCAAGTGATTATGTGCTGCGACTCGACTGTAAACATCGTAACCGTTCAACATAAGTACATACACGAGTATGAAGTCTATGAATAAAAAAACTCCCATAAAAACTTGTGAAAAGCATAGAGGCAGAAAATTTTCCATTTTGAATCTGTTTAGAAGTTGCTGACACGACGTAGGTAACATTTTCATGTAAGAAATAAAATAGTTAAACGGTTTTATAGAAAACTAAAGAGTTTCTTTATATTGTATTGTAAACTTACGTTTTAAGGTGCGGCTAGGCGGCGCGGTTGTCGCGCAATGTAGTATAGACTCGTGTGGTGCTCGTGCATCAACCTGTGAACAATAACCAGACTATATAACACTGTATATTAGTGATAAATTCCTTTTGAAAACGCCTACCTACGTCAGACGCACCTTGGGCAGTCAGCCATGCTATCAACCTTGCTAACGAGTTATCTTTTCATCACAAAGTGAGTTATTTTCGCAGATCACGAACACGTAGGAGAGAGTGGACCATCTCTCTACTAATCCAATTTATTTCTAACGTCAAAATTACACCGTACTTATCTCAATCGTCTTAATTAAGATCTGAGGTCCAGGACAAAAATAGATTCGTCTATTACGTCAAAAACAGAGGCCACGAATTAGATACATTGTTTTATTTGTATTGTTTTCCACGTAGGGCGTATAACCGTTTTTCTATTTCCTTCGAACATGATTTTGACCTGACAAGAAGACCTAGAATATTATTACCTACGATATACGGTTATGGACATCTGTGACGTGCAAAACACCAATTAAATATGAATAAATGGATATTAATTATGTATTTAATGACTTACAATGACGTCCTCTTACACATCTATTCCGAAGCTGACTATCTCCATTACATACAGATGCATCTGTTCTGTACGTACCCCAATGACGAAGTTAGTAGTAGTTAGTACCTAGTACTTAGTACCGATACATTTAACATCTAGGAATTCTATAAAATACTTTAAATTTGAAATATAATTGACAACATACCTTGTTGTCAATTACATTCACAGTATTCTATAGTTTTTAATCAGAACAATACAACTAAAAACATATTGTAAAAAGTCAAAGCCAAGTCTCGACGGAGCCGTTCATTCATCTCTAAAAGGTAATTAAATTTTATTTATTTATTTATTTCGAACAACTTAAATCCATTTGGTTAGTAAACAAACAACTTATAAAACTAGTGGTAGAGTAATGAAATCTAGACAAAGTCGTGCTAAATATAAGGTGCCTTACTGCGATTTCCTTGTTATAATAGTTAATGTTGTGTGACTTGGCCGTTGAAGGTACAAAAGATTGCAAAACCAGGTGCTAGATATTAGGATTATGAAAATTCTATTCTCAACTCAAATGAGGGCCTGAAAACGCGGCGCAATGGTTCCAGTAAAGTATGATACGGCAGTGTTTGCCGCTGGACTTGGCGGGGGCACTGCTGTGCCCCCAGCGCAACCTTAAGACTAACATTTCATATAGGTAACGATTAGAAAAAAAACAGATACCACATAATAACAGTATTGTAATTACTCTGACGGTATTCAATCCATAATACTGTATGGAGCAGGTAAGCTATTCTGTAACTGGCAATTCGAACTTTCGAAGTGAAGCTCGATCGGATATTCACCCGGTTTTTAATTGAGACTCGACATTATTTTCACAACCAATGATATGGCGGACCGGAATCGAGTTCACTTCGATCTTTCGAATTGCAAATTACATAATAGCTTAGCTGGTGGATTTTTATGAGTGGGAATCACTTTATTTATCCCACATACATAAATACTTAGTATAATTAGACAATTTTCCTTGAAAAATTGCGAGTAATTTTTCACCGTCAAATCAAAATAACCTTGTTTTCTCCTTCTCGGATTTACAGCATAAAAATAAATTCTCAAATTGAAGCTTTCTCCAGACTGCTCGATATAAATATAGGGCGAAGAAAATTAAAAATAAATGACCAGTAAACTGAAAAAATAAGTTAATATGACGAACAGTTCAATTATATCCAACCCAAACATCAAATAGTTACACCAAACATCAAACAGTAGGTGAAAAAATGGCAGCGTATGACGACTAATTTATTTTTTCATTATATAAGTGGTTCACTGTTAATTAATAGAAAAAAGTTGGCCGACCGACTTACACTTCAGCAATATTTGGGCGACCTTTATCTTTTCAGAAGTAATTAATTCTGGAGTTATCAACCAGCAGGTTTAATTAAAACTTCACAGGTATATGAGCGCGCCCGGATCGGGCTACTTATCCAAGAGGATAACGAACGATCTCTTTGGGGGAACCTCTATATAACATACGATGATACGATACCCCTAACTTTTTATTATTAGATTTCCTTTATATCAGTAATCAGTATGAGATGAAGCTTTTACCAGGAAAACCAATAACCGGCCTCCTCTCTGATAAGGAATGCCTACTAAACGTTGGCATGTCGCGTCGGCCTATACGGTTTGGGCACAGCATAAATAACATTTTTATTACGAGTAACGTGCGAAACGTAATAACTTTCATATACATACATTTATTTGAGGAACACGTCTATTACTGCAAGAGCGGTTTTATGAAGAAATATTCGTGTTCATTTTTATTGCCTTTTTCATTTTGTGCAAATAAATATAACTTACTTCATAAAGTGAACATTACGGAATGTAAGTGTTTTTATATAAGTGTAATATGTAAATTGTAACCGACAAAGGATAATATTACTTTCAATATTCTAGTTCTAAGATGCAGCTTAGCCCTCAATCCATTACGAAACTAATTGGATCAACAAACGAGACGTCATTGTCATCGTACTCAAGCTCAACATAAATTATTCCTTTTTAACGCCTATTTCCCCCTTCGACACAAAAATGACCAACTTTGTTTGCATCCGTAAATACGTGTACATATTAATAGAAAAAAAATACCGGCGCCATGGCATTGCCTTGAAAACCTGAATACACCAAAAACTTCCCTACGCATTGACGTCATTAGCAATTCGAAATTTGAATAACCGGTTGCAAGGTCATGAGGTACTCATCCTAAAATTAAAATTTAAAATATGTGAAGGATTTGCAACTGTGTAACACGTAAAATATTAAAGTATTCTAACACCCTTTATAGTTCCTGCATTATCTAGTAGGTAGATACAAAGGTATAAAGATCGACCTCCCACGTATTGACGGATCGCGATCGCTTCCACACGCAGTTCACGCACACCAAATGCATAAGAAAACGACCTCGCCGGATAAACACCACTGACGCAAGCAACTTGTAGGTAGATCATTTAAATTGTATGCACACTGCACTCTGCTCAAGGATACGCATGAATGGATAAAGGGCGACATTTTTCTGTTAGAAAGTCGCAACAGGTAACACACAGGTAGGTACCGATGTATCTATTGTACTGTAATGGCAAGGCACTTTCTTCCCCATCATAATAAATTGCACCACGATATTTAAGCTAACCAGCTTAAAGCACGTTGACATGAATTGAGGTGATTAGAATAATGACTTTGACAAATGCTCTAGAATATCCTCTAGTCTATCAAAGTCTAATTTACGTATGTTATACACAATTCCGTAATTTGAAATGTCACACAGCCGACAAATATTCATTACAACGATGATTAATTGTTCTAGGAACTTTATGTTTTAGAATTTGAGAATGTTCAAACAGATGTTAAACCGGTGTTTATTATACAAGAGGAATGAGGATATTATGACTCCTCAGCTGGAAGTAATTTTCAGATAAGGGTTATGAATGAAAATGAAGTTATCAAAGGATTGAATTATTGGATTTGGCAATTATTTTAATATTTAATGAAGTAGAATGTCACCGAACTTACCAAATGAAATTGTTATATAATAAAGTAGTACCTATACGTGTTGGTTCCGTACTTGGTCCTCGGGTCCGCAAAATGTCTCTCGATATGGTGTAGGTAGCAAACAATCAAAGAACTATCAGGCCATAGTGCGCACGTAGCGCGGTGTAACTGCGCAACACGCGCAGTCGCCGGCATTTATCAACAGCCGGCCGTATGCACTGCATCGCGGAGATAACAATACTTAATATTCTATGAATATACAGTACGATAAATGTTATTAGGCCATCTGTATGTATATTGTTTCATTATAGACCAAGTTTCCAGTGTGGTCCACGTGTACTAAAAAAAATTACTTATGAATCAGAGACGTCAGAAAAATAACTAAATCTAAAAAGACTTTAATATTTCAAAGGATCAAGTTTCAGCGACGGCTTAAGATTAATAAGCCGAGTATTGGTATTTAATATAATACATACCTTAACCTCTTTGATAATATTAGTTCTAAAAACAATATGGAATAATATTACCAAGGAACGATCCTTTAATAAAATTGGCAAGGGTAAATAGAAGACAAAACTGAGTTCACGAAGGGGGGCGCCCCCAGTAAGTAATGCCTGTAGAGAAACAGTGAGCATTGCTTCTAATTCAATATGAATAATGAAATAAAGAGAAGGTCGGCGCCACTATATTGTTTTATACCTATTATCGATAGTGGGTCGTTACTTACCATAACATTAATTGTTTAAAGGACACTGAATAAGGACGATTTCTATCACAAGGTGCGTGGAATTTACTTAAGCCTTGGTTCAAGGGAAATTCAGGATTGGTAAGGGCGCTATTTGGTTGAATACCACATCGTTTAAGCTAACACGTCGTGCTCTTCGTGGTAGAAGCTTTTGCGACAAAAATCCATTTTGATAAAACTTAACGTGAGCTAACAGAGGCCGGTTGTATTAATTATGTAGTCAAACTCCGTCAAATTTGCACTGGGGTCACTTTTAAAGAAAACAGCTACCTGACACGCATAGGGGTGGAAAAGGACCTTCGTAATACAATTTAAGTTAAAGTTTATTAAAACGCCCAAAAAGACAATGCTTGTTTCGGACGAACACACAGTTTTACAGCTCATAGGCGCTTTACGTGACTAAATACATAATTGATGTATTTTGTCAAAGACACAAAACATGGACTCTCATTTGATGTTGAATACAGTCCCAGGCGCTGTCGCGCATGCTTGTTGAAGAGACGATCCCATCATCCATCACAAACAGAAAAAAATATTGTTTGGCAGGTTTTTAATGAAGTACATAACAGAGCCAGAGGATTGCGTTATTGTATGTATATTCGTGGACAATGAGTATTCAGAATTCAGAGGACGATGTGATTCTGGTCGATCGTGTTCGTACATGAATTATGTATGTACGGTGCAATCAGTGGCGTCGGTAACGACAAATTACTCCACGTATATCAGGA